GTTACTTGACGTATCTCGAGCTCTCTCTTCTTCCATAGTTCTTCTCTATAATTTTCATGCGATACAGCAACGCTCAGAACGACAGCGTATTACAAAATCTATGGAATTATACTGCATGTCCAGGCTCTCATGTGAAGCGTCCCCAGTCCAGCGTCATACCTTCATACTTCTTGGCGTGGTAGTCTTCCTTCTTCTAATGGTGATGAGAGGACGAGATTATATTTATTAGCTGTACAACTTTGCTTCCGCCGTTTTCCTATAGATGACTTTAGTGGTAAGTGGTCGAAATAAATAGATCATAGACGTCATACAATAAGCTTGGGCATCTGTCAACATAACCCCATAGAAACATTAGTCGATTTGTGTCTGCATCATAAAGTTATTCTCGATTGAAAATGTCAGTTTACGAGCCAAATTCTCGTCATTTGCGGGAGGTTTTAATTTTCTGCTTCAATATGAAGAAATCTGCGGCTGAGGCTCATCGAATGTTCTCAAATACTTATGATGAGGCCGCTATAGTATTAGTGAAAGAACGTGTCGTGAGTGGTTTCAACGCTTCAATAACGGTGATTTTGACGTCGAAGACCGGCATAGCGGTGGAAGAGAGAAGGTTTTCGAAGATGCAGAATTGGAGGCATTACTTGATCAAGACTCGTGTCAAAATCAAAAAAAATTGGCACGATCATTGGGAGTAACTCAACAAGCCATTTCAAAACGCCTCAAAGTCATGGGAATGATTCAGAAGCAAGAAAATTGGGTGCGTACGAGTTGAAGAGATGTTGAACGGCGTTTGTTTGCTTGTGAACAGCTGCTTGGAAGGCAAAAACGGAAGGGATTTCTGCATAGCATTGTGACTGGGGACGAAAAATGAATTCAAACTTGAGCACAGAAAATGTTACTCTTCACGCCGTCAAAACCCGCATCGATTCTCCTCATCCGCTTATGAACGAAATTCGAGGCTCAGCACGAGCTTATTCGAGCACAATTCAAGGAATCGTACGATGAAAGTGAGTACAGTACTTTTGAATTTGCTGATTCTGCCGAAATCACTTACATGCAACAGCAAAGCCTGCTAAACAACTACGTCTTAAAATTCAAGATCATCGCGCCAAATCCTCTCCTAAACAGGATTCAGATACTGAGCTTTCCTCCAAAGCGTCCCTATCTCGTTTGAAAATTCGATGCGTTCTTTTCGAATGCGTTGAGGATTGGTTTCGACCACGTTTCGTAACACTCCATTGTCGCAGCTAATCCATCGATCGCAAATGTAGAAAGATTTCACTACTTGAAGTCTTGACTGGAGAGACCCGCTGAAAAATTAATTCGACCATTAACGGTGATTAGAGACAATTACCCACGTGCATGGGCATTACTGTATAGCATTACGAGAACAAGGAGAAATTAGTGCGCCAGTTTTTCCACGTTTACTGCTGTGACGAAAATGAAGAACGATACCGCTGAAGAATTGAACCGCACTAGAGAAGAACTATTTACAACGCACCAGTGTCGTGAACGGTCAGAACCAATCCAATCGCACGGCTTCGACATTTTCAACCATTTCGTCATCGAGCTCTTCGATACAAAGACTTTTGAGTGGAAGTCACATACGAATGAGTCCAATGAACCGCTAGATCATAAGATACTCATGAATTTTATTACCAAACGAGCACTTACTCTGAACGCCGCGGAGTCCCTCAACGCGAAACGCAATATCGAAACCGCACAATGCGTATTATGCAAGGAAAGACACAACGATGATGTGCAAGAACTTCCGGTAAAAATCCGTTACCAAAGCCATCGTTGAAGCACGCTTTGTTTTCAACGCTTATATTTCAACTGCTTGGGACCGCATCCAATTGTGAAGTGCCAACCCGTAAAAACGTGTACGACATGTAAACCCCGACACCACTCGTTGTTTCATGACACGTACGTTTCACCGAAACCCATCGAGTCCAGCGCACTATCCACGATTGTGCGCCGCGACGAAGACTACAAGGCAATCCTCCTCGCAACAGCGAGAGTGTCCATCGCCGACCACCATGGAAACCAGCACATTATTCGAGCACTGGTCGACCAGGATTCAAAAGTGTCTCTAATTTCGGAAGCACTAGTACAACATCTGCGCTTGCCACGATCAGCCGTTTCGATCTTTGGTATTAATAGCAAGTGCTTCGGGCCAAGTAGAGGAAAGGTGACTCTCGACATAACGTCTTTAACAACCAACACCAAATTCACCACCATCGCCTTCATTCTTCCACCTCTCACTGTATCAGAGTGCAAACTCAAAGGATAGAACCGAGTGACCTCACTTGCAGGGGCTCTCACTGGGACGACCCGCAATTTGGCCAACGATCCTATTGAGTTGCTGTTCTGCATGAAGGTATACTCGTTTATTGAAGGGGGTCTCCACAAGAGAGGTCTATAAGGTTCCGTCGCCCAGAATTCGCTTCTTGATTGGATTCTTTCCCGAGACTGCAATAGGGCATCTGCGACAACTAGATATAGCTCTTTGCAGTGCTCCTTGCAACCGACAACGATCTGGCAGTGTTCGTTCAGTGCTTTTGGAAACAAGAAAAAGAAATCTCCGCTCTAGTTATCCTCATGCTGAGTGAGCAACAGTGCGAGGAAATCTTCGTGCAAACCCATGAACGCACAGTCGAAGGGCGATACATAATGCGACTGCCATTTGCTTCCCCGCCGACAACCCTCATCGAAACTCGCAAACCAGCAGATTGCTAATTGCTATAGAATACAACGGAGTGATCTTGGTTCCCGGTTCAGTCGGAAAATTGTATCGTGCCTTCTTGCAAGAATATATGAGGACTTAGATCATATGGAGTTGATGCAAGACTCGTCAGCCTCGACCGCAAAAAGATGCTACCTATCTCATTACGGGATGCTCCGAGAATCAAGCGCCATTACCAAGCTCAGAGTCTTCAACGGGTAGCAATGTATAAGTCCGATGAGTTGCTCAATTCGAAGTTATTAATCGGCGCTAATCTGCTTCCGACTCTGGTGGATATACTGATGCTCTGTTGGCATCGTTATGCGCTGGTGACCGACATCGAAAAGATGTACCGTCAGATTTTCGTCTTTCCGCAGGATCGCAATTATCACCACACTCTTTGGCGACGCACCAACACCGATCCTATTCACGAGTATAAATTGAAGACAATCACGTACATCATCTCATACGCATTTTTCTTAGCCATCCGCATGCTTCGTCAATTCGCCGACGACGAAGAGGTCCGATTTCCGCAGAGCTCCGCCGCTTTACGCCGCGATTGCTATATCGATGGTGGCGAATGCTATATCGCTACCAGAACACATACACTGTCAGACGCGATCACGGTGCAGTCTAAATTCCACCGACTCTGCATAGCAGGTCCCCACTCCGAAAATAAACCACAAACACCCGCAAACTTTTTACCGGAATTCACACTTATGAGAGCATAAAGGTCATGATACACTGGAGCTCCGTTAGACAATGCGTTCACCTCCACTATACATTCCCGCACTATCACCGAATACCAAGAGACACATTTTCGCAGAAATGGCTCTTCGACCCGCTCAGATGGTTGATCCGTCGTGATCCGAGCCAAAATGCTCATCCAGGTTGCAGCAATTGGAATGGGATGCTCCGCTTCCGTCGAAGGATGCCCGACAGTGGCGACGTCTCTTCGACGACCTTCCGCAGCTCGAAAGTCTCCGCGTTCCGCGCTGGCTAGGCAGCGGTGACAAGGATTCGTATCTGAAGCTTCATGGTTTTGCGTCCGAATGAGGTTATACCGCCGAAATTTATCTTCGTCACCGCTGACGATATCACTATTCGCTTGCTCGCAGCGAAGAGCAAAATCGCACTAATCAAGCTGATTTCGTTGTCGCGCTTGGAACCGGACTTGCGTCCACTCTTAACAAACTTGACTGCTTATACATGCACCGTCATGGCATGATACCAACAGCTGTCACACTCTGATCAGACTTCAAAACCCTCCACTGGATCAAAGACCATGCTTCCAGATGGAAGATCTACGTAGCCAACCGCTACTGTGTCACGGATTCAAGAGCTGCTCCCAGAAGCACGATGGTGTCACGTTCTTGGAAAGGAGAATCCGGCTGACTGCGCCTCCCAGGAGATTACGCCAAACGAGCTCATCAACCATTCTCTCTAGTGGACGGGCTACGCCTGTAGCGGAAATGTCACGGACTGACCAAGCGGAGAAAAAGAGGATCTTCTCGAGAGCACTCGGAGTATCACTGAGCCTGAGATTCTACTCAGATTTTCATCATTGCATCATCCCCTAAAGATCACCTGGTATCTTCGCTGGCGCCACCGCCGAGAGAGACCTGTCGTCTCGAAGAGAGCAGAACTATCATTGCGTCCCGACGAGCTCGATGAAGCACTTTTTCGATGGCTCCGTGTGGTGCAAGCTCTGCACTACCCGGACGAGACGACCGCCGTCAAAAACAACCACACATTTCCACGTTAGAGTCGGCTGAAAGCATTGAATCCCTACGCTGACTATGGAATTCTCAAAATCGTCGGAGGACGTCTTAAGTACGCAGAACTCTCCATCGTGGAGTTCTATCATCGCCGCACTCTCCATTACTTCTGATCATGATACATATGCTATTTATATAGAATTTATTGACGATTATAGTTACTTAAGATTTTAAAAATGAAACTTGGAATATATATATATATATATATATATATATATATATATATATGTTTTTAATATTAAAGCGATTTGGTAATAAAAATAAAATTTGTGGCAAAATAATTGTATTTGATTTTTTAATAGTAAGAAACATAAAAGATTAATTACTCGTACAAACATCATAAAAAATATACGTGTTAATCAAGAAAAATATAAAATATTTATTCAACATAAATTTTTAAGATATATTACACAACATTTATTGTAAATTGTTATCTATAAAAAAAGAAAAATACTAATAATTCAATCACATAACATTGGTAATTTTTTTACGCAACAACTATCATTATGAATAATATGTTTCAATTTTTTTCTTCTTTTTAATTTTACAGATTCATCACATTTGCAAAACAAATTTGGTATGGCCTTTCCTCATAATTTTTTTGTTACCAACGCGGAATAATTCTGATGAACGGAAATGAACCTAAAAAATAAGAGATACACGTTAGAGAAAAATATCTGTCCCACCATCTATCATTAACGTAACATCAATATGTTAGAATTTTTCATGCAACTACATAATCGTTACATACACTCACATTATAGTTTAATATATTTAATATATTGATTAATATATTGATTATAAAACATTTGTACGCACGCTTCGGTACTAACCTCTCACAGTAAAGCTGATTCTGAAGGTTTCCAAACAGGAATTTTAGCATCAATCCATTTTTGTCTCGAGTTTGGATTTTGGGCAAATGTTGTGTAGCAATATCCTTCTTTATTAGAGTTTGTGCATCTTGGACTGCACCTGACAAGACATTTTATAATATGCACAAATCCTGTTCAAATATCTGAAATGTAAAAATTCGTAGATTTATTTCATGTATATATGTACAATAGAGCAAAATATATATTTCCAAGATTGATAAGTATCAGTGATACGTATCACTTACAAAGACCTTATCAATTGTAAAATTAAAGAGAAAATTGCAGCACAAAGTGACAGGCGTACTGCTTTTGCAGTTATTTAACCTAAACAGCATATCCCCACCATGGCTCTATGGAGTTTGATTACCAGGAAGAGTCCAATCAGAGGAGATCGAGTAATATTGGGTCATCTAAAAAGTATCCGCGGTTTTTTGTCACTAGATGGTGTTGATCATCAATACTATCTAGTGACAAAAAAACCACGGATACTTTTTAGATGACCCAATATAATGCAATTTGCCACTCTCTCCCTGTAAAGTTCTCTAGTCTCGCCAAGCTGATAAAAATCATCCGTTGGTAGCTCTCTTAGTTAGTATCCGCCGAGAAAATCGCAAAGATAAAACCACCGAATAAGAGATCAAACCGTAAAGTTTCATGTATTTTCTTTTGTAAGTGCGTTCTATCTAAAAATTAAATTACATGTAGTGCTGAACAGAGTTTCAAATAAATTATAATTGTACATAAACCTATAAACTGTGTGTTCTTTCGTGGCGTTACAACAGTGTTTTTTGTTCGCACTCTTTACTTCCGTTTGTTACGCGCGCTCTCGAATACGCACAAAAGAAACAAAAAGAAATCAGCGAAAGGAATGATTAGCGCACACTCGCATGTGCACTCGTACGCTCGCCCTCTGAACCGGGAAGACACAAAATTATCCTGGCGACGATCCGCGGCAGTGACGAACAAAATTTGTCACATCACAGAACATACATAAATATATAAAACATATGTATATAAACATTTATAATTATATATTAAATATGTGCACATCATATTACCTTTACAAAACAAAAGTTGCAGTAACAATGCAATAATATTTACAGCAATATTGCTGCAAATTCTGTGCTGTATGAGTATCGATACTTTCTTCTTTGTTTTGTAAAATTACTATTTAATATAAGAAAAAAGTTTTTAAAGAGAGAGCAGTCAATTTGTTTAAAGTAGAAAAACCCATTTTACTTTAGGATTGAATAAAGAGTCAAAACTTGCATTCGTGATCACGCTCACATTGCAGTCTTGCGTGATTATGACTTCCGAACCTCAATAGTCAACTTTAACGCTTAATTTCTCGGTTCACAGGGTAGAGCGACGCTTATTTCTGGTGAGATTTTTTCGTTTTATGCAAAAACGCCTTGAATAAACCGAATTTCATTGATTTTTGAGGTGATAAGGTTAAACCATATAATTATCAAAAAATAAAGTTTGGAGAAATAAAAAATAACTCATATACAGGGTTGGCCATATTCGACGGAAAGACCTTGAACCCTATTAAATGATTTTTAAAATGAACAGCAAAAAATGTGTTTTTTTCCCATGATTGAAAAAAAACATCTTTCCGTCGAATATGGCCAATCCTGTATATGAGTTATTTTTTATTTCTCCAAACTTTATTTTTTGATAATTTTTATATCATAATTATACAAATTCATATAATTATGCATAACATATGCATGTAGTTCCACACGAGAGAACACTATATTTGTAGCCTATCAGTAAATTCAACTATAAACGTTTATATGAGAAAGATTACTGAAATACATATTGGCCAATCGAAGAATCTTCCGTGAAGTTGGCATCCGTCTTTACCAATTCAAATTTCAAAGGGTATTTCTTGTAGAATTTTGTCTATAGATGCAGTTATCATTATTTTATTTGTAATTCAACAATAAGAATGTTACCGATTTTTAAAAAACAGGTTGGAAACTTTTTTCAGCTACAGCTCAAATGGTACAGATTTAAATATGAAATCATTTGCAATTGTTTGTAGTAGCAACATTTTTGTTTGTAGTTAAACAATAAGAGTGCTATCGATTTAAGAAAGACATCAATTAAAAAATATTTTTCTTTGCTACTTAAATGGCACCAGTTATATATAGGGTAAATTATTTTAATCAATACACGCGAATATTTCGAAAAGGAGAAATTTTATCAAAAAATGTTTCAGACAAAAGTTTTATATTTAATAATAAATATAAGGCTACAAGCCAAACAAGATTTTGATGCTGAGTTATTATGTTTATAATAAACAAAAATTTATTACAACAAACGTTTAGACCTCAATTGGATCATTCTCAATGTTGAAAAATTTTATGATTTCGAAGGTGAAAAAAGATGGTGACCTTGAGAAGAAGTCCTTAAGATCAGATCCACGTTACATAAAATTTTTTTAACAGAATCCTCCATTATTTATTGTCAATCCTTGTAGCTTATTTCAAGAACTTTCAAAAACGCTATAATAAAATATTTTTTCATTAAGTACATAGTTATAAAGTAGTTCGAAAGTTACAGTATTAGTACTGCTGGCATTTGGATTATCCATTCGCATTACTCATTTGCATTATCCAGTACGTAGAGAGACAGAGACAGAGACAGAGAGAGAGAGAGAGAGAAAGAGAGAGAGAGAGAGATTGATGATATGTCAAGATCATGATTTTAAGTAATATTTAGGTTTTAGTCACCAATTGAACACCTTGAATAATGCAAATGTCCATAGTACTGTAATTTTCAAACCTTATAACACGAAATGTATCTAACGAAAAAATACTTTAACTTTTTTTTTATAGTGTTTTGGGAAGCTCTTGAAATAAGCTGCAAGAATTCGTAAGAAAAAAATGGAAGGTTCCATTAAAAAAATTTCATTTCATTAAAAAAATTGTATGTAACATAGACCTTCAGGACTTCTTATCAAGATAAACCAAAGTCACCGTCTTTTTCCCCCTTAAAACTTTTGTCTGAAACATTTTTTTTTAAATTTCTCCTTTTCGAGATATTCGCGTGTACTGATTAAAATGACCTACCCTGTATATGAAATCGTTTGTAATTGTTTGTAGTGATTTTTCCGGTCGTTTGCACCGTTAAAAGTTACAACATATTAACGATAAACAAAAAAGTAATTTTGTCAATTCTTAAAATATTTCTATCAGGGTTATTATGTTTTAAACAAAACGTTTAAAACGGCTTGTTTAATACGTGTTTAAAACACTTATTTTAAACAATTTTAAACTATTGTTTAAAACTGTTTAAAAGCACGCAATTAAATATGTGATTTGGAAAAGAAATTATAAAAAATAAACAAAAAAAATAATTGTATGTTGCAAAAAATTTTTTTATTTATTTATATGTACATATACTATTGCGACATATACTACATGGGCTGAAAAGTCCCGGGATTTTTAATAAAGATGAAAACAAGCATTTTTTGGGCAAAGTTATATTTATTCCTCAACATAGTTGCCTTCGAGGGCGATACACTTGGTATAGCGATTTTCCAACATTTCGATGCCCTTTCTGTAGTACGAAACGTCCAAGCCTTCGAAATACGCCTCGGTTTCCGCGATGACTTCCTCATTCGATGAGAATCTCTTTCC